GCCTATTTCGGAGAAAGAAGTATAGGTTTGTTGGGTTGCTATCATCGGAGTGTAATGAATGTTCAATGACATTTTTAATGCTACAAATGGTAGACTCCACTCAGGTTGTGGTGCAGAAGATGATGTGTTGAGCATATTAGCACGATAACCTTCATTATAGTTATATATCATAGCGGGAGGGACTTGAGGTATATCGTCTACTGGCTGGACTTCAACTGGAATATGTCTAGATGTCATTTTCACGTCTTTGTAGTTCTTTGGGTGTATGAACATGAGGAAACTCTATAGATGGAGGGGCAGGTTGAAGCATAGGATGAGTTTCGGTACGAATTTCTTTATTCATTGCACCAAATAGGCTAAATAATCTTCGACGGAATGACAGATTTCTACTTGTTGTTGATGTTGAACTGTGATATATATGTTGGAGTCCATCTGCCTGTATTAAAAAAATATTATGGAAATAAGAGTAAAATTTATTATTCAATTAGATTAAGAAATTATAAGATAAGATAAAAAGATATGAAATAATTACCACAGTTCCAACTTCTACACCTCGAAATGAAATGCAACGTCTAGTTCGTATCAAATCTACTGCACCAAAGCCACCAAATTATAATTATATGTGTGTTTTGGTGAAAAAATATTTTGAGTGAATAAATATTTTTTTATTGAAACCACTAATTAATCTGGTGGACTCTTAACAAAGAAACTATTTCTGCATGTACTTTTCGCTAACCAATGGTGATATCTCATAGTTGCACTAAAACCACTAAACGAATTGTGTTTTAATGAAAAGGCAAATAGACAATTTAAAATTTTCATTATGTATTGAAACCACCAATTGGATCGGTGGTCTCAATACAAAATAAAAATTATTGTTTATTCATATAACTATTTTTTGCTAACTGTTTGTCAGTACGGGTTACTTTTTCTATTGCACTGATACCACTGACTCAATTGGTGGTTTTAGTGCAACACTCTCTCTCCATGTCAGGACAAACATTAAATTGGTAAATAATTTTGAAATGACATTAGATTGAAAAATAGTTTTATGGAAAGCATTATTTTTGTCAAAAGCCAAAGATTATGTCCGTGACATTAACTAATTAACCTTATTATTAATTCGACGTAAGAGTTATTAATTTTGAGCAAAAGAAGGATAGTCTTAGCGTTTATTTAGATGAGAGTATTTATTTAAGGTGAGGAAAATAATCATGAAAAATATCTAAGAAATGTGTTTTCTTTTATTTGAAAAAAAAAAGAGAAAAATATCGAAAGAAGTAATATTTCACTTATTTTTATTAGAGCTCACATATTTTAGATCTCTTCAATTGGAAGAGAAAATAATAAAGGAAAAATGAGAATTTTACTTATATTTATTAAATAATCTAAATTATCCAAAATAACTAAATCACATTTTATTGTTTAAAAATAAATGAAAGCATAATAGTCAATTCAATAATAACATATTCTTTTCTCTAAAATTTTGCATTTTTAAATAGAGAAAAATAAATTTATTTTTTTCTTTCATTATATCTAAATACAAAATTGGATAATAACTATAAAAAGAAAATTTATAATTCCTCATTTTTAAAAATTTACAATTTCTCCTTAATTTCCTCTCTCTATTGCAAACAGAGTGTTAAATTGAAAGATGATAGTTGACAGACAGAATAAAGTAATAAAGTAATAAGTATAAATCAATGACACTGCAAATTGCATGTAGTTATTAGTTAGTAGACAATTTCATTAACTGCATTTAAAAGGAACTTGACAGTTAGCAATGTCTAAAGAGGAAATGAAATGAAAGTGATGGTTAAAAAACAAAAAGAATTGAATTACTTCTTCCGACAATATTTTCAAACCTAGAATCGTTATACAGTAACGTAACCAGAAAATTCATTAAAGGTATAATTAAAATATATAATTTATAAATATAATTATATATGAAATAAATAAAAGAACTTCTTAGATCAGAATGAATATTTTTTATATCAAGCTCAAAATTTTCGACGACTGATCTAGGAAGTGTTATGAGCATGCTAAATAGTTTGATTGATAGTGATGAATTTGCAAGGATCGATGTTCTTTCAAAGTATTATTTATAAAAATGAAAATATTGTTATTATATAAAATTAAAATTTCATGTTTTTCATTGAAAAATTGCTTAATTTATTAAATACTATAATTAGATTAATTATAATATGCAATAAAACTTCCAAAATTATAATGCATTAGAAGAAACCGACATTTGTTATTAAAAAAAAAATTAATAGGCTACGAAGATCACTAATGAAAAGCAACAAAATTAGAAAAATTAATTAAAGTTTTAGCTTTTTTTTGACAAAAAGTATTTAAATAATTTTAAAAAAATGGGCCCCCCTTGCCCATCCATGGCTGCATCCACGTGGCTATATGTAATTGTCCTTCATAACTAATTAATTGACGGATGCTTTCTTCCTTCCTTAACTTCACTCCAAAACATAGAAATTTCCAAGAAAGAAATATAGTCTTCTTCATATGACCATAAAGGACAAAATCACGTGAATCCAAAGGTAAATTTCTCCATTAAGAACTAACCTTTTTAAACATTTATGTCCTTTGGGACCACATGTTTTCATGTTCATCATAACTCTTCTACTCATTTATTTTTGAAAAGAGAAAATATATTAATTTTAATATATTCATTTGTTTATTACAATATTTATAATTTACTCAGACTAAATTAACATCAAACTACTAGAATTATTGAGTGAATTAAGATAACTAATATTTAGAATTAAGACTTAATTACAATTGTTCTCGTTGTGTTTCAGATTCGAGTCTATATAAATTTATTTAACCCCTCAATAAACCGAAAAATAAAATAAATTTGACTTATATTGCACGATTATTTCATCATCATATACAAAATGGTGAGATAAGATTTTTAAGATATTATTCTGCTCCCCAACTTAAAAACAAATGAAATATTTAATTTATAAATATCTGTTAGTATTTTTGTGAAGAAAAAAGGAAATGAACTTTAAAGTAGGGCACAATAAAATATTGTCACATTAAAGCAATGAAATGGTTCGACTTTACAGGTAAAGGGGTTCAAAAAAAATGCTCAACTAGGAAGAGAGACCACTGGAGACTTAGATGCCACCCAATGAATGTGTATGGGCCATGTAGAAATACAATACTGCTGGCAAGTAGAAACAAGAAATGAAAATGAGCCTCCAAATTAATTATTATTGTAATTTAGGAAAAGAACCTTTTTTTTTTTTTTTTTTTGCTGGCAAGTAGAAACAAGTAAATGAAAAATGACCCTCCAAATTAATTATTATTTGTAATTAGGAAAAGAAACCTTTTTTTTTTTTTTTTTTTTGAATACCCAAGTTGTTGAATTGGCCCCCATATCTTTGGATCTGAACTGGAAAAGAGACATATCAAATAATGAAATAGATGTGCTCAAATATTTGGTCAACATTTTTCTTTGATATCTTCTTTATTTTTTAATGATATATATATAGTTAATATGAAATATTTTAATTCTTTAATTTTTGAGTTGATGAAATTGAATTAAGGAGTATATTATGAGAGTTTGGGAGAATTTATTGAATTTATTTAAAATTATCTTTTAAGTTGCGTTTTTTTTTAATGAATCCCTGCTCTTGATTTGGGTTCATTTTCGTTATTTGAAGGTGAGATTTTTTTTTTATAATTAGGGATCTTATTTTTAGACATTTTGAAAATTACTTTTTTTTTTTTTTTTTTGAATACCCAAGTTGTTGTATTTGGCCCCATATCTTTGGATCTTGAACTTGAAAGAGACATATCATATGAATATAGATTCCAAATATTGGTCAAATTTTTCTTGATATCTTTCTGTTATTTTAATGTATATAAATATATATATATGAATATTTTATTCTTTAATTTTTTGAGTGTATGAATTTGATTTTAAGAGTATATATTGAGAGGTTTTGGAGAATTTATGAATTTATTTAAAATTATCATTTTATTGGTTTTTTTTTTATGAAATCCCTGCTCTTATATTGGGTTCATTTTTTCTTATTTGAAGTGAATTTTTTTTTTATAATTAGGGATCTTTTTTTAGATTTTAAAATTAAATTTATTATCGAGTCTAAAATATGCGTCAAAATTAAACTAAACAAACATACATGTATCTGATTTACGCACAAATAGAATTATTTACCCATGAAAGAGCTATTTAAGTTGTAAATAGGTTTCAATTAAATATAATGACTTTAAATTTTCAAGTTCAAATCTTTCAATTATAAAAATTTTATCAATTTAATAAAAATTATTAAAAATGAAATATTTTCTCCATCGCATAGAGATGATATTATTCTGATTCATTTAATCTCAATAAATAAATAAATAAAAACTAATCATTAAAATTATTTTTATTTTTTTAGGTAATTGGATCGGTGGAAATGCACCGTATCTTTAAGCAAATTAACTTTATATGCAAGGACAGAGAATTGAAATTCAAAATTGTCACTATCAGAAAAGTTTTATCTAAATGCAAGTCTAGCAAAAAAAAGAAATAAATCTTTTTTCATATCTATATAATTATAAGGGATAATCTCTTTTAGGCCGTAAAATATAAATATTTTTCGCTCACTACCCCAATCGATATCTTGTTGTTGAAATAAAAAATCTATTGTTATGATAAGAAATTAAATAATAGAGTGTGAATTTATGTATCTAAGTCAATTATGTGTGCCAACACTAACTGCTCCAATCTTAAATCATAATGGCCACAAATTAGAAAGTCTTTTTGTTTAATGAAAATAATGATAATTGATAATAATAAAGTAAGCTTCTTTGGGAAATAATGTAACAGTAAGTACAATCATACATCATTGTCAACAAAAAAGTCCAAAAGGTGAACATCAATACTATTATTTTATTAATTAATTAATCAAATACAAGCCAGAAATTTTCTAGTCCAAAGCCAAAAGATATCCCAGACAAGGAAGCTGCTTTGAAGCCAAGCCAAAAAAGAAAAGCAAGTTGAGCCAAATATATATTATGAATGTGGAAAAGAATTTTTGGATGCTTCTTACAAATCCAATCCTACGGTGGAGATTGGTGGCAGCCCTCTGCAGGCTTATCTCCTCTGACTTGACTCTGAATTGTGTTTTTGAGAGAGAGAGAGAGAGAGAGCAGAACAACCAAAAATGCAAGAACAGAAGAGTATAAAACGTTGGGCTTTAAACTGGGACCAACCCGCCATTAATGCAGTTCTTTGCTTTCTCTCTTCCACCATCCTCCACCTCTTTCCCTAGCTCTCTTTATTGCTTGCTAGTTGCTATTTGTCAATCTAAAGTTTAGCTCAAACTTGGTCAGCTCTCATCTCACTCGTTTTCTCGTTTTCGCTTCTTTCTCTCTATTCTGAGAACAAAACTAGAGGTGGGTTACTGAATTCTTTATGAACTTATTCTTGGGTTTTTGCAAGTTTTCTTTGTTAAAAAATTTTTATCTTATCTTTTTCTTTTTCTCTTTTTTGTTTGCAAATAAAGTTGCTTTCCAAGGCAATTCATTGGTGGCGTGTTTATTTTCTGGATAAAACTTTTTACTTGTATAAAGAAGAAACTATTTTTGGTTTCACACTTAGATCTACCCTTTTGTTATGCTTTTCAAGTTTTTGGTTCTTTTTCAAGTTATTTAGAGCTTAAGTTCCAATTTGTTGTGATCTGTAGGAAGAGAGCTTCAAAAGGGTATATTGTTATTCAACTTGATGGGGGTTTGCCTGAGCGCCCAAATTAAAGCTGAGAGCCCATTTAACACAGGTATTCTAAATTTTCACACTTGTATTCATAGCCATGTGGTAGTTCTGCCTGCTTAATTTTAAGTTGTTTTACTTATCTCCTTTTCCCGTTTAGATAATTGTGGTTTTTGCTTCTTTTCTTTTCTCTTTTGATAATGCTTTACTTTCTGTTTCTTGGGGATGACTTATTTTTTATGTATGTTGGATTTTATCTAATTGTGGTATCCTGGCTAATTACTTTCCTTTTTCCCTTTTAATTGTTTCTTCTTTTTTGTCACCAAAGTCTTTTTGGTTGCTGATAAATAATGAAACAAAAGGAAAATGAAATCTGATTAGGTCTGGGTTAGGTTTGGCAGAGATGGAGCAATCAGCTTGATTATATCTTTCTCAATCTGAATTATCAATTCATTGTTATATTAAAAAAAAACAAGAAGAAAATCATATTTATCCTGGCTTTCTTCTGATTGTTCTCATTTTCTTGGCAATCTAATTGATGTAATATGAATAATATTTATTTGATGTCTTTTAACTTCAACTCAGTTCTTGGGTTATCTGTAGATTGTTGTTTTTCTGTTGAGTGTGCACTTGGAGTCTACTTTCCTCCAAAATAGGATCGCTTAAGCTATAGCAGTTGCAATTAATTTATGCAGAGATTACATATTGGCTTGTGCAGGGCTGAGTTCAAAGTATGTTAGTACAGATGTGAATGATCGTAGTACAAGTAGTAAGGTCTCTTCAGCTTCAATGCCACCAACACCTCGAAGTGAAGGTGAGATCTTGCAGTCCTCCAATCTGAAGAGCTTCAGTTTTTCTGATCTTAAGATGGCCACAAGAAATTTCCGTCCTGATAGTGTCCTAGGAGAAGGTGGTTTTGGTTCAGTTTTTAAGGGATGGATTGATGAGAATTCATTTGCTGCTGCCAAGCCTGGAACTGGAATGGTCATTGCCGTTAAAAGGCTTAACCAAGAGGGTTTACAAGGGCACAAGGAGTGGCTGGTGAGTAATAGTTTCCCAGCATGATCTGTTTAGTATAATAGTCTATTTCTTTTTCTGGAAGAGCCTGTTAAAGTTAACTCGAGGTAGAATTGGGACATATCAACCGTTTTGTTTACTTTTGTTGGGGATTGGCAATGTTTAAACCTGGTTTAGTATTGTCCATGCAGAGGTTTTCTTATGTGCTTTTGTTATATTCCCTTCATTCTTAGGCTGAAGTAAATTATCTGGGGCAATTTTGCCATCCTCATCTTGTGAAGCTTATTGGTTATTGCTTAGAGGATGAACACCGGCTTTTGGTGTATGAGTTCATGCCTCGAGGAAGCTTGGAGAATCATTTATTTAGGAGTGAGTTCTAACTGTTCATTCTCTTTGGCATTGTTGGTCCAAAGTGCCTTTAATTAGCATTTTTTAAATGTAAATGCTCTTAATTGTTTTTCTACCAGGAGGGTCTTATTTCCAACCTCTTTCTTGGAATCTCCGCTTGAAGGTGGCTCTTGGTGCTGCTAAGGGGCTTGCATTTCTTCATAGTGCTGAAAACAAAGTTATATATCGGGATTTCAAGACTTCTAACATTCTACTTGATTCGGTATGTATGACATGTAAACAGTTTTTTATACTTTCAAAATGTTGTTATTTTCCAGAAAAGTCCATCTCACTTCCTACCAGCTCTTCTCAGAATTTCTTTTGTGATACTCACAGAACTACAATGCAAAACTCTCTGATTTTGGATTGGCCAAGGATGGGCCAACTGGCGATAATAGTCATGTCTCTACCAGGATTATGGGTACCTATGGATATGCAGCTCCAGAGTATCTGGCCACAGGTATCTCTTGATTCAGATTGCATGGTTTAGTACGTAAATTAGTTCTCCAACCACACAACACGATCCTTTTTGGATGGACGTTTCATTTTTCTGGATTTGTCTGTGCAAATGTTTGTGTTCTTGCCTATTTTTCAGCGTTTTCATGTTTGCATTATGTGCTAGTTCTGATAATCGCTTAACTTCCTTGTTGACTAGGTCATTTAACTGCCAAGAGTGATGTCTATAGTTTTGGAGTTGTTTTGTTAGAGATGTTATCTGGCAGAAGAGCAATAGATAAAAACCGGCCAACTGGAGAGCATGTTCTAGTGGAATGGGCTAAGCCCTACCTGGGAAACAAGCGAAAGATATTTCGCATCCTGGACAATCGTCTTGAAGGCCAATACTCGATGGACATTGCCAATAAGGCAGCTACCCTTGCACTACGTTGTCTATCCATAGAATCAAAGTTCCGGCCCAACATGGACGAGGTGGTGACATCATTGGAACAGCTTCAGGATTCCAAGGAAATTGGAAATGTTAACACCCATTCAGGCTCTGCACAAAGGATGCGTCGACACAGTGCAGATGATGCTAGTGGTGGAAGAACTGCAGCCGCTTATCCTCGTCCCTCGGCCTTCCCTCTGTATGTTTGAAAATGGAATAAAGGAACTTGACTAAAACTGCATCACTTTATAGCTCAATACAACGCAAGCACGTCAGCGCGTTCAAGATTATTTTTCCGACGACTGTACAGTTCAATGTTCAGCTTCAGCTAATGTATGCAAAATCAATCTTTTGCCGACAATTTTCAGGACAGCTTTTGTATAACTTGTTCTAGTTGGTCCTTTTCTCTCCTGCAGCCTGGCTTGTTGTATTTAATATTATTTTATTTTTTTCTCAAATGGACCCCTTATTATATTATAAAATTATTAATTTGTTTCTTTTTTGAAAGAAGTAAAAGATTTTGTTATTCAGCTGCATTTGCATTCTTCCCTGAACGAATTATATTTGAAAATAAAATAATTTATATTTTGAAAGGGAGAAATTATTTTTAAACAAATTTAAAATTGAGTTTGGATTATTCTTGAATATAATTCGAAAGCAGTGGGACATAGTTGTCCAAAAAGATGTCAAGCATATACTCTCTTTTCTTCCCCTTAGAAGCAAAGAGAAAGTGAATGAAAAAGCAGGAAGCGAAAGGAGAAGGGATACACGTGGGGTTATTTATTGCTCTGTTATTTATGCATTCAATTGCCTGCTTTCAAGCTTTTCATCTGATTATACGTGTAGCCTACAGTATCAGATTACCGTAATCCGGACTGGATCCATCTTTTGTACTCGAACAAATTCCGCCAAATGAGGAAAATTGGTTTTATTGAAAACACAATATGTTTGATGATTTAAGTAAATGCTGCCAATGGAGACAAAAAATATGAAAAGAAAGGAAAAAATATATATTGGCTCGTCTTCTACTTTAATAGTAACATTAACATTTGCTCTTTTCATAAAAATTAAAAGAAATGATTAAAATTTATTAATTTTTCATTTTAATAGTAACATTTGCTCTTTTCATAAAAATTAAAAAAAAATGATTAAAATTTATTAATTTTCTAAAAATACATGATAAGATGTTTAAATTGTCCCTCTTAAATATAAATATAAAAATAAATTACCCTAATAAATATGAATAAAATTTAAAAAATAATTAATATAATCTCAAAATTTTAAATGAGCACTTAAAAGTAAAACAAGGTAAAATGTTTATTTGTTGCTGTTATAATTAAACGGAAGGAGTGCATGTTTTCTCTTATTTGAAAGTGGGAAAGAAAATAAATCTTTGTTTCCAACATTTTTCTCTCTACTAAAAGGAAAATAAAAGAAACTATGACAATAAATTAATAGAGAATATAGTTTTATTTTTCTTTTATATTTTATATAAAGAAGAAAAATTACTCTTTTTTCAAAGTGTTTTTTTCCTTTATATTTTATTTTCTCTTAAAGCCAACGTGTGTATTTATTTTCTTAATTTATTGAAAAAGGTCAAGGTTGATATTATGGGCTACACTACGAATACTCTCTTCTTTACTCACTAAATTAGTAAAAGCTTTTAGACTATGTTTAGTTAAATGTAATATAGTATAATGCAATCAAATATGTAATGTAATGAAAAATGCATTGTAGTGCAACACAATTAATATTCCATTGCCTTATTTGGTCATGTAATTAAAAAAAATTTAAAAATGCAATTATTTTTTTATTTTTATGTTTATTTGTAAATATGTAATATAATTAACACGTCACCACCACTTAGCGGTAGTTGTGGTAGTGGTAATGGAGCACCAGCGGATGTGGTTTTGGCGGTGGTGGTGGCGATAGTGAATGGTAGAGTTTGAGGTGAAATTTATTTTTGGTTCAACTTTTAAGGTATTGTAATGTAATGACAATTATATAAGTTTTTGGATGGAACGAATTATTATATTATTTTAAATAATGGTAAATACATTTATAATATTCATTATATTACAAAGTAAGAAAAAATCCATTCAAACTATTGTAACTAACTATATGATATAATCTTTGTTCTATTATATAATTGATTACATTGAAACTTTAGGGTTGAGAGAATTCAAAGCTGAGACCACTAATTATTCTCCGCCCATTATTGTAAATGCTAATCAAATCTATCGGTGGATATCGGTATTTTAAACGGATTAAGAGATTATAAGTAGTAAAATTTCAAAATAATTTGAATTAATAATTACACATATTTAAATGGATTTAGGACAAAAATAGGTAACTCTAGACATAATAATCTTAGAAAGCTTGAAGGATGGAGAGTTTTGTTATGGGATTTATTTGAAAATTTCACTTTTTTAAATAGAATTTGATTTAGGTATATCCAAATTCACAGAATTACTTTTTTCATACCAAATCCAAATTTGAATTTATAAATAAATTTTATAAAATTCATTTATTCCAATCAAAGGGTGGCTTTTTAACTTCTAATTCCATGCTTGACACTCTGGAACAGGATATTAAAGCATAATGTGCAATTTGAATAGACTTCAACTAAGTAGTGATTCAAATCGTTTTGGGTGAATTACAAGGTTCCACTATGCCGGATAAGCCTTGACTAGCTTTTCCCTCTGCAATTTGCATGTCTTGCACTTTCACTTGTCCCTTTCCATTTTGTGCCTTTCTTTTGGCCAGGTTGATTATTTAGACCGTATATACGGAAATTCTTTCCAGATAATGTTGCCGCAATAAATTAAAAAAAGCTTGAAGTAAAAGAAAAATATGATGAATACCTAAATTATAGTCAAATTAAGAGATAAAAGACTTCTATTTTTAAAAACTAACTAAATGGTCCTTAATTTATGATTACGTTAAAACTTTGGTGTTTCTATTTTTAAATGAAATTACCAAAATATTAATGAAATCATAATTTAAAGACTTCAAGATTAATTTTTGAAAATAAAAGTTTTCATGTGTTAACTATAATTTAGATACCAACTTATATTTTCCCTAATATGAAAATAGACTATTATCCAAAATTATTAACTTCAGATACTCCCAACTTCTAATTTTTGTTTCAGTAAATTTACTGCTGCTAAATTTGGAAAAATTTCAGCCATAGTTTATTACACAATAAACTAGTTTTTTTTTTTTTTTTTTTTTTTTTTTATACAACTAATTTCACCCTAATATGAAACAAATCTATACTCAAACTTAATTAACTTCAGATTAACTCCCAACTTCTATATTTTTTTTTTTGTTTCTTTATTGTATTATATTTTTATCTTTGTGCTTTTCTTTTGTTTAATATTTTTTTTTTGTTGTATTTATATTAAATTTTTTTTTTCATGTCTTCTATTAAGTTTTTATTATCTATTATTTTCAATAATTACTTTATTTTTTTTTTTTTTTTTTTTTTTTTTTGTTACATTATTGAATTATAAACTATTTTTTTTTTTTTTTTTTTTTTTTTTTTTTATAGAAAAAACTAAGTATAATTTTTCAAATGTAATTCTAAAAGACAAGGAAAATCCCATTTGAGATAAATTTTATATAATTTGGCATTTTCTGGTAGACAATGGGGACCAAGGCACCACTTATTCAAAGAGGGAATGCATTATCCAAACCCAACCAACTCTATATATCCTGTCCCATTCAGTATTAGAAAAGGAAAATCCCATTTAAGACAGATTTTACAAAGAAAACGGATCGAAGCCAAGCGTACCCCAAAGTACTTCGGTCTACCAGAGGTCAGGTGGAATCTATGTGGGGAATATGTCCTTCAACTCTTCCACATTCTCTGTAAAAAAACCCTAACCGCGAAAAACTCAGAAATTGGAATTAGCATCTCTTGCACATAAATGATTATGCATCTTGGGGAAAACTACATATAGACGACTCGCAAATTTGATTTAAAATATGGTTTTTTGAGAGAAGCATACATGAATTGCAGCTTCAGACTCCAAAACCAATATTTACAGCTATCTTGCAGAAAAAACAGGAAATGAATACCTTTCCAATTTATGCAGAGAATTAATTGCTTTACTAGTATTCATGTTGTTGCTTGTGATGGTTAAATTCATTGATCTTCCATTCCTATGATGAAGAAAGGGTGTATGCATTTCTACTGACTACCAAAAGTCTATTCTGAAGTACTTCTTACCGATCCTGGTGTCCAACTTCTCCAATCTAGTTTCCCTATGGATCTGTTCCTCAGGTTGACTATTTCTCTTAGATCAAAAACCTTCTTTCGACAACTATTACCTTGTTTAATAGACTCGGGCTCAGTTTCTGCAGAGATATCCTCCTTAACTTCTTCAGTTTCACAGACAGGTGCACAGGGAACTTCATCTTGAGGTGAAGTCTCACTAATGATGTTTCCAAGCATTTCTACTACCTCGCTCATTTTTGGGCGGGACTTCGGCTGTTTTGTTAGACATTTGTTTGCTAGGGCTGCTAGTTTCTGAGCTGACTTGATGCTATATTGTCCTTCAAGTCGTGGGTCTAAAATAAGGTAGAACTTCTTTGAATCTGATACATATGGTCTTACCCATTCTAAAAGCTTTTGCTCGGCCCGAGGTAGGTTTCTCTCTAGCGCTCGCCTTCCAGTGATAAGCTCATAGAGAACCACCCCAAAGCTCCACACATCACTCTTCGCAGTCAGTCTGCCAGTCTGAACATATTCTGGAGCTGCATAACCCACTGTGCCCACAACCTTTAGGAATGCAGTTAAATTAGAGAATATTTTAGTATGCATAATAGAAACATATCAGGATTCATGAAACAAAGTGATTAGAATCTGCCATCCCTTGTAATAGAAATTAAGTTTAATGATGTAAATTACTGTAGAAAACATAATGAGTACACCAATATGCCAAAATTTTCAGGTGGCATTGAGCAAAACTGTTGTCTTCTTACTGTATGGTCAAAACCTTAAAGAGGTTGAAAGCTCAGTAAAAATTATGAAATATAGACAAGGCCTTCAGACAGAGCTCAAAATTATATACCTGTTAGATGCAGACATATTTACATAGGTACATAGATAAAGAAGAAAAACAACTTACTGATGTTGAAACATGTCCAAGTCCCTCAGGAGGCCCCTGCCTAGCCAGTCCAAAATCTGAAAGCTTCGCATTGAAGTCCTCGTCCAGCAGTACATTTGATGTTTTAAAATCTCGAAATATTAGCTGCACCAATGGATGACAAATCCTAATCAAACAACCAGCTAAGAAAACTAACAAAATGCAGACGGCATCTAATAATACAAAACTAAAGAATAAATTATTACAAGCATCATACCAAAATTTCATAAATAAAAGAAAACCAAACAAAAGCATAAAATTCCACTATGAGCACAAATAACTAGACCAATACAAAACTACTTCTCCTTCTTCCCTTTGGCACAATCCCTTTATGCATAGAGAGTGAATTCCACCATTACAAAGTGATTACTAACTATGCTTTCAATCTAATAACTCCAAAACATACAAGGTTTAAAATACCTGAAAATCCATTTCTTCATGGAGATACGCCAACCCGCGAGCTGCATCTTGAGCGATTTTCAGTCTTGTCATCCATGGAAGAGGAATAGGAACTCGAGCCAATAAATGATCCTCTAAGCTTTTGTTACGCATAAGCTCATACACCAATAGCCGTTGCATTCCTCTTTCATCATCTTCAGCACAATATCCTACCAACTTGACAAGATTTGGGTGCTTAACTACACCTAAGAAATTCACTTCATTAATCCATTCCTTATGCCCCTGAATACTAGAAATGCAAAACAGAAAAAATTTTCCCTTAAGTATACCTCACATATATCATAAATTTTTACTCACAGAAAAATATTTTTTTATTGAAATAGGATTTATATTCCAACAGTAGAAATCCGTCAAGAACAAGCAATATAAGCAAATCCATCGTTCTGTTGTCATTTTCAAATTAATTAAATTTCAATGAAATTAATCTCAAAAAATGCATTTGATGTATCTTAAATTTAACATTATCACAAAATATATAATTCAAAAGGAAATAAAAGGAAAGGAAAGGAAATTAAAAAATAAAAATAAAAATGAAAGCTTGCCTGGAAGCCGTGACGATTCAACTGCTTTATAGCAACGTCCATCTTCAAGTCATGACCTTCGATTTCATCATCAGGAACCCTAACAACACCTCTATAAACACACCCAAACCCTCCTTCGCCGATCAAAAGAGCTCTACTGAAACCTCTAGTAGCCGATTTCAACTCGGCAAAAGTAAAGACTCGCAGATCATTAGCTCTTCGCTGAGAGAGAAACTCATAGAATCCAACAGAGTCAGACAAGTCTCTCGACGAGTTACACTCATAGTCAAATTCAGACCGTCTCGTGTCAATACTACTCGAAGCTATGCTCAAAGACCTCGCCCACGAAACTCTCGACACCACTCTTGAAACGACATCGCCGGCACCTCCATCCTCGTCGTCTCTTCTCTCTCCGTTGGTGAAATGAAAACACTTCATTTACGACAAAAAAAAAATTTACTAACAAAATTAAAAATAAAAGGCTGAAAAGGAAACGACAGAAGAGTCAAAGAAGCAGGTGAAGAAGAGAGAGAGGAGTTGGTTCTTGCTGTTGTATTTTGGCTCAGCAAGTTTTGAAGAAGAAGAAGATGAAGATGGGCCCATATTCGGTGTCGTTTTGTGTCGTTTTTTGCAGAAAGAGAAATAAGAGTAGATCACGAGGGAGAGCGCATATTGCAGAAATTGCTTGCTAATGGCTGATTATTAGAGAGGGAAAAACCAATGGAGAGGTCCCCTCCGCTCCTTTTTCAAGTTCAGTTGAGGGATTCAACGGACATTTTTTAATTTCAGTTTCTTTGTTAGTAAGTTTTATTTTTTTTAATTAATAATTAAGGATGTTTAGGTTCAAACCGGAAATAATAATTTAAGAGAGTTATTAATTTTTTTTTTTTCATATTTCGATCTCAATTTCTTAGTATATTACATGAGAAACGAGTAAATTTTTAAATAATTAAAATTATGCTATGAATTGAGATGGAAGAGAAGTGGCAAATGGAAGGGCATTATTATATGTATTTTTTCCTTTTCTTGAGAATATTTATTAAGTCGCTAGAAATTGGTAAATAATTGTTTTATTTCAAATCAAACGAAAATGTCAAAACTTGTTCTCGTCATCAATCACCTATACAATATAAAGTGTTTTTAAATCAATGAAATGTGCTCTATCTTTAATTTTGAAATTTATGTAATTTATATTTTATCGTTTACTTAGTTATCAACTATCGTGCATCAGTAGTTTAGACTTTTTAAATAGATAAATTTAAATCGGTCCAAAATTAATCGATTTTAATTTTATCAATTATATTTTAGTCTCAATTATGAAATGGTTTCCAAGGATACATTCTTTTTAATAAAAAATAATGAGAGCTTGAGAAGATATTAATAAATTTTATTTACAAAAACTTTTAGAGCGCTAACAAAAGAAAAAAATTTAAACTTTACAAATAAGAGAGAAAGTAACTTTGAAATAGAGAATCGTGACCATTAATACAAGTTAAATATAAAGAATTGAATACATATATTGAAAGGGAAAGGATTAAATAAGTGGATTAGGCGATCATTGATAATGAGATGTAGATACCCGTGGTTTATATAAAAAAAAAAGAAAAGGATTAAATAGTAATTAGATATTATAAAATGATATATATATTTATATGTATTTTTTGTTGTTTAGTAATTAGATATTAAAAAATAAAAAAAAATTAGAATAATAATTTTAAACGTAAGAAACCCTAATCTTTGGTAGGAAATAAATCTTAGTAATTATAAGATATTAAATAAATTTATTAAAAGAAAAAGAATTAGACATATATTTAATTCTTTCTTTTGTTGTTATTATTGTTAGTATTTCTTTTGTAATAAAAATCGACAGATAAAGCTGGTTTCAGTTAGTTAGTTTGTTATTATTATTATTATTATTATTATTTTAGGCAAAAGAACATAAATTGATCCACCGAAGAATCAATTTTAGTTTAACAAAGCAATCCATGATTGCGGGCCAAATAAACTATTATTTCTGTTTCATAATATTAATTATATTTAAAATTTTAAATTATTAAAAACATAATATAATATTATAATTTAAAAATTTTAAAAATTATTACAAAATTATTAAATTTATTTAAATTAAAATAAATTTTTAATTAAATATTTGAATTATATGCTACTCTTAACTTTAAATATTAATTCTTTTAAATAAATTAATTATATTAAAGATAATAGCCTATTGATCAGTAATATAATACGTAAATATATAAAAATTATATACTTTTTAAACTATAAAATGATAATAAAATATATTTATAACAATTTAATTTTCTTAAATATATAATTATTCACTATAATGGAGATAGTACAAGATGAAGTGTCATTTACAATTTTGAATCTAATTGATTATATTACTCTTAATTTAATATTAATTCTTTTAAAAAAATTATTTAATTAAAATAATAGCTATTGATCATATATAAAACGTAAATATAAAAAAAATTATATTACTTTTTAAAACTATAAATGTAATAAATATTTTTAAAAAATTATTTTCTTAAATATATAATTATTATATAATGGAGATAGTACAAGATGAGGTCATTTTCAATTTGAATCTGCCCGGTGTCTATTCATAAAATTGGTTAGATTATAAGTTCAATGAAATTTTTTTGCTTGCACAACAAGGTGTCCACATCTACTCAGACAAATGACTAGTCAACTAGTGATTAGTTATGCAGATGAAACTAATTTACCCTCCAACCAAACTGATATTCCATGAATTTAAAAATATATATTTAACATAAAATTAGGTAATTTAAATTTCATCACTGGAATTTATCTCTCTCTGTTAAAACGGTAGAATTATAGGTACTAAGAAATTTATCAATTTCATAGATTATCACATGTTTTTTGTCTATTAGATTTCATCACTTAAATTCCATAAATTCATATATCCGATTTTAAACCAATCAGGTGGCGGTCTGATTGGTTTTTCACTTATGTGAGGGAGTGGGAGATCTCGAGTTCAAGTCTTCTTGATTACAGTTGTTACTAATTTGGTGAGTTAAGAGAAAATCTATCTCTATTGTGTAACCTACAATGTTATTTCGATTTATAAAAGCTTTCAGTGAATTAAAAAAAAAATATCAGATTTTAAATAGCTATTAATGATTGGTCCATAAGATAAATATATATTTTCTTAACAAGAAGTCCTTATATAATAGAGATAATTATGAATTTGACATTCAAACTTTTAAATTTTCTATTTTACTGTCTAAATATGAAATCTTTACACTTAAACGTGAACCCTAAATTCATCCTAAGACTCCATTTATTTTTTAAAAATAACTTACTTTTGAAAAATATTTTCTTAAAAAATATTTTTCAAATGACTTATTTTCTGTTGTTTGATTAAAATATTTAAAATTAACTAAAAACATTAAAATTTTTAACTCATAAAACTATAAAAATATTAATAATAATAGAAATTTCATATTTTAAAAATTGTATTCTTAAATATAAGAAGAATGAAAAAAATGGTAAATTATGAAAGTCGCTGGTGACCGGGGGTGGTTCATGGCGCCAGTGGTGAACAGTGATTAGTGGTAGTGGCTATCAATGATTAATAAATTAAAAATATGGATTTATAAAGTCATAATAAGCTTGTCAATTTCTGGAAAATGTTTTACGTTCTTGAAAATGAAAAGTCATTTTCCTTTAAAATAACTTAATTTTCCTTTAGCGAGGAAAATTATTTCCGTTGACTTATTTTCCTAAATGCTTTAAATAACGAAAAATTGTAAAAAATATTTTCCTTCAAGTTATTTTACAGAAACAAAAAGAGCCTAATATAATATTTATGTACAAATTACTACTATAATATTATTTTATAGTCAAACTAAAACAAGTTATTGACATAAAAAGTCATGAATTATAATTTTAGAAGTTACTAAAAAGAAGAAAAAAAAAATACGTTACAGATATATCCATTACGGCGTTCTAATAAATTTTCAAGAAAAGAATGCTAAGGTTAGTCAATTGCATCTTAAAAGAGTTTTTTGACTTCCATGTAAACTAGCAAGACCAAGTCCACTTTGCACTGCTGTACAATTTTCATTGGATCAAAACTACAAAAACCTGACGCATCCTATTTTTTCTCTTAATGGAAAAAATAAATTTCAACGCAATTGAATTTGTTGTTTTTCTTCTGGAAGAAAATTGCTTGAAAGCTATGTTAAGAACTTGTTTTGCAACCGCTCTTGATGCAACGTTTATATTAGCTGTTATATCAATTGTAGCTATTATAGTAATCGTTAATTGTTCTATTAACAGTTAGCTATTAGCTCGTATTATAAAAGTTATGTTATAAGCTTCTTCTCTTATCTCCGCTATTAAAGAAAGACACAGATCTTAGCAGTTAGGGAATCCGTTGTAAAATTAAATTCATTTTAGGAGTGATTTCGCACCCTAGGTCCTAATCTAAATAATAAAAGTTCACTCAACTTGTAAAAGTTATTACAAAAGTTATATTGCCAAACAATACAATTAAAGATGTAGAGTTTTAATTTGGTTAAAACGTTAAAAGCCAGCTCAAAAGTTACTGCAGAATAAAGCTTTAATGTTTTGATTTAATTAACATTACTTTTATTATTTATATTATTTGGTGATATAACTTTAACTTTTATATTAATGTTTAAAGTTTAAGGAATAACTACTAAAATGTTGAACATGCTTAAGTTCACATAATTAATATAATACTTTATTACGGTGGTAATTAGATTCGCTAAATTGGGGCACTATGAAATTTAAAATTTGAATCCAACCAACTGTGCTCTAGTTAGTTTTCTCATGTCTTCGAGAAAACATTAGAAAAGAGAGGTTTGAAGTTCGAATCATCTCCATTACAAAAGTTATCACCAATGTGGTGAATATTATTCAAAGAAGAGTCATACCCACCTACCCTTGTTGTGTAACCCATATGTTTTTCTGATCCATTAAGCCTCTATATATATTAAAAAAAACTTAAAATTTGAAACCAAAATTAATTTTCTCGATTTATTTCAATGAGTAGTTTTAGATTTTTGTTTATTGAAATTGTTGGGAGAGTCAAATCGAAATTAAACCCAAATTCAAAATCCGTAAATTAATTATGATTTCAGCTTTCACCGAGTCGGTTTTGATCTAAACCGAACCAATTAGGATGCTTAATGGAAAAGTTTCTTGGTTAGTGGATCAAAGAACGTAGTAGAAAAGTAAATACTCATATTGCGGGTATTCCTAACTTTTGATAAATTGATAATTATTTATAATTTAATAGATTTTTCATATACATACGAAACAAGCACATTGTTGACATTAGGTAAAAATTTTATTTTCCTTTCAAAAAAAAAAAAAAGGTAAAAATTTTATAAAATACGTGTTTTTCTTCTTCTAATCTAATACATGAATTTTGTAATAAATATGACTATTTTTATCAAATTTATTACCCATTTTCAAGAAACTAAAGCATGAGTTGTTTTGCTCAAATTTTACAAATTTTTATTGTTGAAATTCATTTTAGAGATTTTCTCATGAATTGCAGGATTAACTGAGAATAAAAAAGTTAACAAAAATAATTAGAATTTTAATTAATTAAATTAAATTTCTTGTTTGTTTAATTTGCAATTACAATTAATTGTAATTAGGTGCAGTTCGATTAGTATTTCTAATAATGTGAAAAATAGAAAGTAAGATTCAAGTCTTTTGACTATAAGCGTATTTA